AGTGCGACAACCTGCTAGTTGTTTGGTGTGAGTTTTCCATGACTCAATGCCCTCCAGCTCTGGAAGAATGAACCCTCCTCCTCTCAGTGATGTGCGATAATGCTGCTGTGGGTGCTGCTGGGGCTTCAGGCTCACCATTGTTTTCAGCCCTTTTTCCAGCTGAGAGTAAGAGCTGGAAAGGTAAACACTGCGTGAATCGTCAGCAATCATTACTGTCTTTATTCCCCAAACTTTTCCATTAGCTGGCCGGCTTAATTCAGAACACAGGCTGCAGAAAAGATAGTTTCTTCTTACGAATGTTATTGTAGCTAGTTTACAATAGGTCTGAATCAATTTAAATATATTTCTAACATTTTTTATTATTTTTCAAACATCAAAGGCTATTATTTACTTCCTGCTTCACATATCTGATAAAACCTTTCACTCTCAGTGAAGGGAAGTCTAAATTTGTTCCCTCAGCTTTTGCAGCATGATGCTGCAGATCTTCTATCAGTCTGTTCTGGATAGTTTGATCTCTTCTGCCATAACCTGCTGGGGTAACAGCATAAATGCAAATGACTTAAATAAGCTCTTTAAGCTTTTAAAGAAGGCCACTTCTGTTGTAAGAGCTCCTCTAGAACCTCTGGAGATGATTTAACAAAGTCAATTCTTTATAAAGTAAGATGAGCATCATCTTCATCAGCCTGTTAAACACCAACAGAGTGTCTTCAGTCAGATTACCGACATTCCTTCCTGCTTGCAGCTCTTAACATCTACAACAATTCGACTTATGACATTTAATTTCTCTTTGGGGTCAATAAAGTACTTTTTAATTGATTATGAGTTCATATTAGCTTTAGATCTTTGTTAGTGTTGATTGGTCAGTAGTTTGACTGAAATTGCTGAACGTTTTTGGAATAAAAAGCCCTCGCCTGCATCTTTTCCAGAGATCTGATACATTTTTTGTTTGTATTAAATTTTGAAGCTGTTGCTCCATGTATTGAATCCTTTAAAACATTTGGAAAAACATTGTTTGGGATAAAACACATTTAGGTAGAGATGGAATAAAAGCAAACGGACAGCTGTTCATAAAACTCGCCTGATAATTCTGTTCAGCTGACTTCTAAGGCCATGTTTCACTTATGTTGGGATGCTAAAAAGAGACATTTAAATGTCTGTTTCCCTTAATTTGTTACACCTAAATGAAACTAGTACAACCAATTACCTTTAAAATTGCTATTGGGCAGTAGGGATAGGTACTGATGCTCACTGGTATCCAAATTTGGCACCATGTTATCGTCATCTTAAACACGGCTTGTTTACCTGCAGCAAGCAAAGAGGATGATACGGCTCGCTAACGGTGGAGAATGACGGGAGTTTTAGTCGTTTATCTGAGCTGTTCAAAATGATGCACCCTTCAGTCTTAACAAATGTCGCATTTAAGAAGATGTTTCCTCAGATTAAAGGAGAGGGAGAAAGTTAGGAGGAGCTAAGCATGGAATGGATAGCTAGTTCTATATATAGATGGATATCCAAAGCAAATTAAATCAAAGTCCTGTTTAGAATGCCGTAATCTAGTTGCGAAGCTGTGATTAGGCTAATGCTACGTTCACACCAAATGCAATTTCAGCATAAAAAAAGCACCTGCTGCTTCATTTCTGATGCTTGTCCACATTAAGGTCAGATGTCCAGTAAAGTGTGTCTAGATGCATCTGCTTCTGTTGTTCCTGTGAGTGCGGCATATTGCTATGTATGCTGTGATCAATATGGTAAAAAGTAGTTTGCCTTAAAATAATATTTTTCTGTTGGAGCCGCACAGACCCTCGCATACTGGCGGTGCGCTGTCACTGGGAGTCCCCAGCAGCAGCTGCCTCAGGCCTGGTCGCCTTTTGGGGGTTTTCCCCTACTGTTGGTGGCGGCTGGACGTAGATGTTGGCATTTTTCAGGTATTTGGTACAAACTGCAGGCACTAGGATAAAAAAAGAAAACATATTTTGTGGTCAGGTTTCGACATTTTAAGTTAATTTAGGCATTAATAAACTGTTTAAGAAGAGTGATCATAGCGATCTGCATCATCAGTGCTGTGTCTGACTCTCTGCCAGCTACCAGATCAGCTTCTCTCATTGGTTGTTGTGGCGTGTCGGGCAGCAAAAATTCAATTTTTCCAGCTCCAGCATCTGCTGCTTGTGAAGTGCGTTACACGCTTCAGATGCTCAGAAGCTATGGCTCTAGGCGCTGCTTCAGATGCTCAGGTGCGTCGAGATGTGCTGCTCTAGAACCTTTGGATGCGCCTTAATGCGCAAAAACGAAAGACTCTCCATGTAAACCGCCGTTTCTGCTGCCCAAAGCGTCTGCAGTGTGATTGTAGCAATAAGATATCTTGTTTATCGGCATTCCCACTGACATTGGACAGTTGATGAGCTACTCTGCAAAGACAAGTGGGGGAAATAAAACATATTTTATGACAGAGGCTCCAACCCTGACAACGGGGCTACAGCAGCCCCAAAAACTGATTTACTTTTGAAAAAAATGTAAAGAGCAAGTCTCAAATATTTGGTTGGTTATATGTTTTAACTTTACAGACTGGCTTCTATAGACTATCAAAAGCAACAAATCAACGAATGTTACTCTTTTATCTATTTAATGTTCAGACGGCAGACATGCACACAAACTGAGACACAAAACGTTGAAGAGTTATGAGGCTAATGCTTGAGTAACAACAGCCAGAAAGTCGAAGCTTTATTGAGTTGTTAAACTAGTCATGAATCAAACCTGGTTCAAGTGTTTACTCAGTCACGCAGTGTGAATAAAATCTGAAAAGGACGACAAACATCTGCGTTGCAGCTTAAGAGTTCTGTCAATATATTATAAAGATCTTTTTGTAAGCATTGGGTTTGCAGGAAAGGAGTTGGTCTGGGTGGCTTTATATTTAACGAGGGAGGGATGCAATAAAAGAGAGAAACGGGTTATGAAGTGCAGCTTTTCCTCCACTTCTAAAGAATCTGTTGACAAAGACATCGGGAAGAAGAAAACGTGACTAAAATATAGCAATAGAGCTGGTATCCTTTACATGCCAAGCACCACTATAGTAAACGTTCTACCATCTTGTAAGGAATTCTAGAATGGTATAAAAATGGAGAAAACAATTTCCGTTTGTTAACCTTTTATAGGGCACTCATTGAAATACTTTGAAAATCTAAATTTCAAGCCAAGAAGGCGGATCAAGCCTCTGCTTCTAGACCTCACTCATGGTTTCGGGGGGGTTGGGGGTTAAGCGTTTTTTTCATCCAATCCCGGCTGCATTATTAATTTGAGAAACACATGGTCTGTCTTTATCAGAAGTTGAGGTTTTTATCAGGTTGGAAAGATAACCAGAAATTAATGCTGCGCGATGCAGCGAAAAAAATAACATCTCTAATTTTCTTATCATTAAATCCGATTTATTGATTTTATGATTAAAAGCTAATCAGTCACAGAAACTCCTTTAAAAAAAAAAAAGCCTTTTTTTTGCTGGAAGTTGACCTGAATACTTGGAATTCAAGCTACAATAAGGTCCAAACTATAAAACATGATTTTAAAACAAGTTGACTATCACTGCCAATTCTAAACTTTAACAACATGACCGGATCCAACTATTTAACCTTAATTAGTTATAGGAATACATTTAAGAAAAAAATGGATGCACTGATGTCATTCTTAACTACTGAAGCCTAAGCAGTTTCCCAGATTTTCCAATTACTTGGAAATATCTTAGAAGTTTTAATTCTGGGCTGAAAAGTCATTTTTTCCCCATGAATCCCTACTTCAAAATCCAACATGGCGGCCTAAGAAATTAAACCTTTGCCCCATTTACCCTACCTCACTGCTGCACTTTATGGAATGGAAATGTTCATTTGCTGTCTGAAAAGCTGTACTAAACGTTGTCTAATTCTTAGTCTACCTCCCTGAAGCCGATCCATGCCAAGTTCAGACCAAGCTTGGATCAGTTAAACGTCCCAGGCTTGATTCTTACATCCATTTACGCATCACGATAGCACGGTTCCTCGCTAGCACAGTTCCCGCTAGATTTAGTGCTGTTCATTGGTGTCTGGCACGGTCCAGGTCAGATGCATGCCATTTACACTCAACAGTTAGCTTGGTTATTGTGCTCGGACCATTCCGTTAAACTATTTCAAAAGGCTGGTCTAAACTGAGCTTTTGTGATGCATTAGGCATTTTTCTTTTAGCTTTTAACAGATTGTCATAATCTCCTTCGGCAGACATGTTGTTTGCTAGAATAAAATGCAAGCTAAAAAAATTATTATTAGCTTGTATTGCTAATACTAGTTGGCAGACAACTCAGTCATTTTAATTGGCATTGTCCCTACCTGATCCGTCCTATCTGCTCATTTGCACATGCGCAGCCTGATATACATTCACTTCATCCTCAATTTTACTTTATGAAAGAGACCAAAACTATTTTTTCTCTGATTTATGAAATACTGTAAGGTTTAAGACTCGCCTGTGGCCAATCCATCCCCTATGCTATTTATGTTAGCTAGCTTTTTTCAGCTTTATATTTCTACGTCGATCTAGTCTTTTCAAGTTTAATTTTTATAGTATAGAATACATAATCTACAGAAAGAAACACCTAAAATGCAGATTAAAATGGTGTAATCATATTTTTCTGGACTGCTCTGAGCATGTCCGATGATGACGTCAGACAAGCTGTTTAACGGAGAAAATGTAAAACGTTTACAGTTGTCTCAGAAATGTCATGAAATATTTTTATATGTACTTTAGCTTTCTTTTTTATTTAAAGATAGAAGTAAATTCTTTTAGTCACTATTTATGGTGAACTGGATGAATATCTGCTTGAAAATGTGCAAATGAGCCGATGGTACAGATCAGGTAGTAACGGGCACTAAAGGCGCCCCTGGTGGGTCCATGCGACACCGTTTGAGAACCTCTTGCTTTGCCTACTTGTTTGGTCTCCTGGTAAACATGGCCGCTCACCACCTATTTTTCTCTCCCTCTTGCAGTTTGCACTCCCAGTATCGACATTGGGAATGACATCAGTGAATTCAAACAGCTGGAGAACTGCACGGTGGTGGAGGGCTACTTGCATATCCTCCTCATCGGGGAAAAAAACAACAACAACGTGAACCAGGAAGTCTTCCGCACCCTCAGCTTCCCTAAGCTGACCATGATAACAGACTACCTGCTTCTATTCAGGGTTTCAGGCCTGGACAGCCTGAGCACGCTCTTCCCCAACCTGTCCGTCATCCGGGGCCGTAACCTCTTCTACAACTACGCCCTGGTGATCTTTGAGATGACCAGCCTGAAGGATATAGGCCTGTACAGCCTAAGGAACATCACCCGGGGGGCCATCCGCATCGAGAAGAACCCAGAGCTCTGCTACCTGGACTCTATAGACTGGTCCCTCATCATGGACGCCGAGTTCAACAACTACATCGCCGGAAACAAGCAGTCCAAGGAGTGCAGCGACGTTTGCCCAGGCATCATGGAAAATAGTCCCATGTGCAAAAAGACCATGTTTAACAACAACTACAACTACCGCTGCTGGAATTCCAACCATTGCCAAAAAGGTAAGCCGGCTTTGACGCATCATTTGTCACCTGACAGGATTTTTTTTTGCTTATTAGACAGATCTGCAGCCATGGCCTGCTGCTTGTCACATTTAAAGCTGTTTGTTGGCACAAAGAAAGGCAAAGGGGAGGAAAAAAAGCCACGGAGGTTCAAGGCTGTAGTTTCTATGAATTGTTGATCCAAGTTTTATTCACAATAAGAAGCTTATTTAGCTTATTTAGCAAAGACCTTTCTTAAAGAAAGATCTTGGCTCTCTCCATGTTTGCTGTTTCTGTTTAAAAGTGTCAAATATCAGCAGCAGTTGTTTAACCCAAATGTTTTTGAAGAGCAGTTATCTTTAAAGATAGCCGAAAATCCAAGGTCATTGCACTTGGGGTCGGTTAATCTCACCCTCCTTAATGTCTGTGCACAATACGTTTGAAAGCTGCCTTTTGTGTTTATGTCTGTATTTTTAGACAACTTGTTTTGCTGGTGCCATTAAGACGATGTGTTTTGGCTGGCTGTGTGTGTGTGTGAGCGTCGGACTGAAATGTTTCCCTGGCGACTGGCGCCTTGCTGCAGACTCAGCATGTTAATGTTTTCTGTCTTGTGACATGGAGCTGTTGCAGGACTGGCCTGGAGTTGGCACGTATCAATGTGTAGGAGCACAGACGGTTGTACATTGGCATTCATGTGTGAACGGACGAGGTGCAAAGAGGCAAAGGTTTGACAGGCCCACCTGCACCTGGGCTGCGCTGTGGGCTGGTGGAGTGACGGAGTGTGGGTATGCTAGAAAAGGGGGGGAAAAGTGGAACATATTTGGCTTGTTGGATGATGAAGAGGGTGTTTGTTACTTTACTTCTCTGTGCCCTTTAGGATCGTGGGGAAATTTTGATTCAACCACAATTGATGACATGTTCTCCTTAATTATTCTCTTCTGTGTGTGGCGTAATTTACTCTACCTCACTGCTTATGTGTCCGCTTACTGAAAGGCTACCTGTCTGCCTTTAACTCTGATTATTTATACCGATGTCACCTAACTTGACAACTTCTTATTCTTTTAATGCATCTCTACCTTATTTGGTTGAAGCATCAGTTCTCAGTATGTTTAACTTATCCAGATGTACAAACCCGTGGACTTGGCCCAAATTTCTCCACATCCCAAACACTAAAGAAATGTTATTAGGTTCAACCTGCTAAAATGCAAAAAGAAAAGTCTTTTTTTAATTATGATCCACCTTCCTTTTTGAAATGATCGTCGACTAGTTTAAATTTGTTGTCAGTTAAAAAAATATATTTTTGATGCTCAAAAACTCAGAATTACTTAAACAATAAAACATCCTTTATTATGTTTTTCACCCGTGGAGGTCACCATATTTTCGCCTGTGCAATGCATGCTGGGATTGATGATACGGTTAGGTCTTACTGGACTGAAACCTACAGAGTAAACACAGTAAAGCTAAAATTAGCAGCTTTTTGCTAACATTAGCATTTTTTTTATAGTACTGTTAGACTGGCATAAATTTTGACAATGTGACACTGCATCGCTGCCTCAAAGTTTCTATGAGCCGTTATATATCAGGTATCTGTTTAAATAAATGGATGTGATCATCTTGTGATCTACTGCTTAGTATATTAACTAGCGCTAACAACATTAGCAGGAGCTAATGTGAAAGTCAAATTAGAGGGTAATGGACGTCTGTTAAGAGGGACAGCGAAGCATCTTTCAGTCCTAACTAGGGGTGCACCGATCCACTTTTTTCACCTCCGATACGATACCGATATTTGAAGTTTAATGTCGGTCGATCCGATACGATACCAAAAAATAGCAATGACTTATTACCAATAAAAAAAAATGTTTTATTGGGTGAAAAAAAAAAAAACAAACTGGGATCATTCTTCTGTGCAAATGATTTGACTTCCCTTTATAAAAGTTGTGACTCATTTATTTAACAACTGTGCACAAAATATTAAACCAAAAGTTCTCTGACTTGATCAACATAAAAAAAAGTGTCATTATCAAGTATCATCTCTGTGATTTTTTTTTTGGCCTCTATTCTGTTACATGGAAAAATTTCACTTCTTTCCAAAGAAGTTATCTGCGTCCCGCTGCTTCCTTTTGTTTGCAGAGTCTGATAATCTCAGCATGTTCCCTGTTATGAAACTTCTGGAGGTGTTTCAATAAGTTGGTGGTGTTATAGTTTGAAGATTTAACGCCGCCCCTCGGAACATTTCTCCCACAAATTTTGCACGTAGCCATTGGGCTAGTAGGCTGAGAGAGCGTGAGGAACCTCCACACAGCAGATCCTTTCACTCGCTCCATCATAAACAATATGGCCGTGTTGTGTTGTTGTGCTGCCGCATATCGAGCCATTTGTCACCGATACCGATCTATTTTTGTCCCTTATATCTGGACCGATACCGATAAAAATATCGGATCAGTGCATCCCTAATCGTAACCCATCGTTCTGATATCTAAGAAAGTGTTAAGATCCTTATGCTGATCGTTAACAGCCTCAGTTTAAAGTCAGAGCTCTTTGTATTATAGCTCTCCATTTGGGTTAGCATCTCCTAGCAGCAGCACAAACAACAGCTTCTTCATCTCTGCTCTTCCTCCATTTGGTCCTCCTCATCTTCGTCACCTATTGAGATTTCTAATTTCTCATACACATTTAAACGTGTTCCAGTTTAAACGGAAATGTTTGATGTTACCTTTTTCTGTTTTGGCTGGACAGAGCTAGCGCTGCAGGACCTATGATATATAGTATATTAGGGCTGGGCAATGAATTTCATTTGCAGTATAATCGCAATTTAAGAAAATACTATTTTCAAATCGCAAAGGCACTCAATTTTAATCACACTATATTTAACAACAGTAACACATAAAATTTCATAAAACGCTTTAAGTGGGTTTGTCGTCACACAGACGGGTAATTAGTTTTGCGGCTAGCATTCAGGTCCAGGCATGCAAGCAGGAGTAAACACGTTTTTCACAAAAAGACTAAAGTAGAGTCCTACAACAATGGACTTTGAGCAGGCCTGCTTTCAAAAACTAAAGGTAAGGGGTGGAAAAAAAAACTACAATTTTAGGAATAAGACAAAGGAAAAATCTAAATAAAACCGCAATTTTGGTGAAAAATATTCGCAATTTTAATTTTTGGCAAAATCGTTCAGCTCCATTTTATTCCCAGAATACATTGCACCGTTAACTACATCGATGTGACACATGTTTCATTTAAATGTATAAACTAAACACATTTCAGTAATGTTGCTGTACATCAAAAATAAACACTTTTAAAAGTATTTTTTCTTAAACAAATATTGATTCCTTTAAAGAGAAAATTAAAGGAATCCGGTTCCTTTAATTTTGGATGAATTCTACATCCTTAGCAAGCTTCCGTTTCGATTCTTCCAGATTTTTAGCTTTAGCTAAATGTGTTTAGTAGACTGTAAATTATTCCTAAATTAGGCTGAAGGTCTAATTTCAGAGTGTACAGCCTCCTGTTTGGTAGGGAATAAACAGGAAAACCACATCATCAGTAAAATAACTAAATAAAATATTCCATTCTTGATCAGATGGTTAAGACACAGACTTTTAGGTTTTCAAACCATGAGGAAATATGACTTGTGATTTTTTTAACTTACCCATGTTAGATGTGAGAGTTCTTCAAGTGATCAGTGAGCACACAACAATACTTCAAACGCAAGCGGCGCCGCTGGCGTCACCCGCCCGATGTATTTACAGCTTTACTGATATGGGTTCAACTAATCATCATAAGCGTTCCTCAGAGAACGACGTCCTCTTATGTAGAGAGCCTTCTGTCTGATGCTTGAATAAGCTTCCACTTTGTAGTTTTTGATCAGGTTTTTCCATCATGAGAGCGATGACATGTGCTCCTCTGGCTGCCACACAGCGACTTTATGAGTGTTGTCCACCACAAGAAATTTTCCTAAACAGCCTAATTTGTCTTTCTTGTAAACAAGGAAAATTGCCCAAAGATGCTCTTCGGCTGCAGCTATCAAATATTTACCCCCGCTTAATAATTTAGAGAATAACAGCAGGCTTTAGTTGTGTTTTTATTGGTTTTAGTTGAACTCCTACCGGACTGGGGCGTTGCACGGGGATGGATCAGGGGCAACAATGCAGGAACAATCTGTAGTAGAAAAACTGCAGCTGCATCACTTTGTGGTCTAAATGCTACAAGAGAAAAATAACGCTCAGAGCTACAGACTCGTTTGAGCCATACAGCCTCATGGATGGACCCTTTGATTGTCGTTTCCAATGGTTTCAGTACAGCCGGACCTCTGATCCAGTAATTTCTGTGCAAACCATTGCCAGGAATATTAAGACGGTGTCTGGGTGAAACGTTTTTTTCAAACTGCAGACATGGCAAAGCTCGGGTGCCCCTGCGATTTCACCACACTCGCATTAAATTGTTTCCTAAGCATCTCCTCACAGATGAAAGTAATTTGTCAACTTTTTCAAATATCTGGCATATTTTGTCGATCTTATTTGAGCTCTTGGGATTGAGGTTGGTGGAATATGACGACACGAAGATGTTCTCACTGTGTGGTCACCTTAGTGTGCCTTATTGTGGACCTCAGACGACATTAATCCAACCACTGCACCTGCAAACACCTCATAGTTAGAAGGCAAAGTCAGTCTTTATTAAAACAAGAAATACTAAAGCTGGAGTTAAAACTCCACTACTTACAGATTAAATGCCATCTTAGCTGCATCATACACTATCTGACCTGAAGCTGGCTAACTATTTGATTGGCAAGAAAAATACGTTTTTCTTATTATGCATGTCGTTAAGGGTTACTATGGTGATGCAGTTAAAATGTACGGAGCATCTCTCCTCGCCTCGGTGGGTCTGTCTCCAGCCCCCTAGTGCTGTGCTCTGCATGTTTCTGGATGCTGTCCTGCTTTAGCACGCCTGGGGTCCACTGATGGCTTATTAACAGGCCCTAAAACCTGCAGGGCAGGTCATTGGACAGTTCTGCTTCAGACCCCTTC